CTTGGCGGCCCCTTAATGCTTGGGTGTGGTGGAGGAGGCGGTGGCGTGCTAATGCCTTTTCCGAGACCTTCAGAAAAAGTAAATACAAAAAATTAATTACCCCTTTGTTTTGGCAATTTTAAGAAGATACAAAATATTAGAGGATTTTTCAAAGCCTGCATTTATACTCTGCCTAGACGAAAAATAATGAATGATTTTCCCTGTCTGTTATCTCGAGGAAAAGAATTATACGAGTCTGGTTTCAGTTTTTTAAAAGACTGACGCACCTTCAGGCATGCTTTGACATCCCGACCTTAATTTATACTCGTAACGAGCCTACAAGACTGACCAGACTCGTCGAATTCTGTGTCTGTCGCTGTCGAAATTCTCAGGCAATTGGAAACCTTCCATCCTCGCGATTGTCAGTTGGGGGAAATGACAAGTTTGTCCGGATGTAGAGCAAAAAGAGAATCTCCTTCTCATTTAACAAAGCTACATCAGGTCAAAATTTGCAGGAATTTCCAACCTCACCTGCAGACCATGCCTTCATCTGGTTGTCCTCTCCCGGCATTTCATATAACCTCCTTATTCTTCTCCCCAACTTCCCTTTATCCTTTTGTCATTTCATCCTTTTGGTGGGTAAAGACGGTGAAGAATGCCTTCTTCTATATCTGTTCATGCACACCTGCACACTTACACTACAATCCCACCCCCCACACACAAACACACACGGGGTCATTTAAATATGGGAAAGGTGGCAAACAAAAACTGACCATAGGCGGTACAATCATGGACTCCGTCACCTCGATATCCGTACTCACAGTGGCAGTTGCCTCGGTAACAGCGAGCGTGGGGATGACAGTGTATTTCAATGCAAGGATCTGTAAAGAAGCATGTTAGTCAATAATGAAGCGATATCTGATCATCACGTCAATGAATGGCTCAGATAAAAACAGAGTTGGCCCTAAACTCTGACACTTGAACAGAGGCTTTTGATGAAGGATGCATAGAACTTTTGTCCGAGCCACAAGTCGGATCAGTCTCGCTCAGTTCAGATGTGAGGCCCATTGACTAAAGCTGGTACAGCTAAGCGCCGAAAGTGGGAAATGTTCGAAGACTATCTACAACGGATCGTCCATCGGCGTCCAGCGCACAAGCCTTCTAGCGTATAGTCAGAATAGGGGTTTGAGTTCAAAAAGGTCACCTTTATATATGTATACATATATATATATCGAAGAAAAGTTGGGTTTCGAGGAATCTCTTGTTTCATAATTGTTGAGCTTACTTCCATTTCGAGTGAAAGCGATTCGAAGGTCGGTTCCACCAAAAGACGACGGCGCATTCCTCTTGACCAGCTGTCGATTGGCTTTACCGGAAGATTCATTCTGACGCTGTTTCCGAGGCAATCTACTTTGATTCCGGTGAAAAGGTGCTAAGCTTTCGTCCGTCAAATGACGGACATCATCAGAGCGAGGTACCATCATCACAACGAAATTCAAGCTAACGAGTCAAGCATTCAGGGATAAGCCGGTGAGTTTTCTTGATGATGATGTCCGTTAT